GCTGTTTTCCGTTATTCTCAACTTTTATCAACCGGCTTGAGGAAGGTATCTGTTCGATACACGTATGGTAAATGTTAATAAGTATTATAATAGAGATACCAGAGTTAGAATATTCTCGAGATCTTTGCATATGGGTTAACACTTGGAAGAAGTATCGTGAAAGTTGCCAGAGACATAAATTCATTTTAGTCTTCGGCAAACGGTATCTCGGGGAGCAATTCAACATTGGTAAGATCCAAAGTAACTATATAATAACAAATGACAATGTATAGAGTACACTGAGTATATAACAAACACTCTGTATAGAGTACCTCCAAAATAATTTTCAGGAAAAATATGTTAGATACAAAAATTTCTTGGTTTCCATAGAAACACATGATTATTTTATTTATTTTTTATTTGATGGACACTCTGAAGGCTATTTAAAGGGTAATTCCGTATTCTTTAAATGGAAATTTATATTTCTATTTTACATAAAGAAAAGAAAGACAAATAAAATTTGCTTTATATATATGGTACTACGAATATTTATAGTCTCGTAAGTCTCTTTGTACTACATTTTTGAGCATCAATATGGATGCAAATTGTACCTGTTCTCTTTCCACAAGTAGAGATATATGGAAATATATGATTGTTTAAAGCACAAAAATTAGAATTCATGAAATAATTAAAAGTTTGTAGGCAAAGCTATTAAACCCTCTTTTATCTCTACGTGCTCAAGTCTTGGTGCTTGATGCCAAGTGCTGGAAGTAGAAAAATACAGAAAGAGAGATGGCTGTGAAAAATGCAGTTGAGAGAATCTAGAGCGAGCAGTGAGAGTTCAAAGTTCAGCGTGAGAGTTGGAAGTTTAAAGTGAAAATTTGGTGAAGTGTTTGAACAGGAATAATAGAGTACTTAGATCGTTACAGCTATCGTGTTATTATTGCACGATTTTATATTTTATGTATCAAAACACATATCAACAACGCAATATATGTATACACATAACCTCCAACAGGAAATGAATTTTCATTACTACAATGAAAAACACGAATACAACGTGATTGGAGAAATAAAGGATGAAAAGATATTAAATGAGTTCAAATATCAAAAATATACACAAAATGGAGTTAAAAAAGGAGGGAAAATAAAAACAAGGACAGATATTTCTGAATTTGTTCGTTCACACACTCACCGCTAGATGGAAAACGGAGGTTCCAGGTTTCTCGCAAGTACTCGGTGAATCCTCGACCCCCATAAATAAAAATTCCTATGCTACCTAAGTATCCCCCGTCTAAGGTAGAGACTATTAGAAGGCCTTATTGAGGAGTCCACTAGCAGACCTAGGACGAAATGCATCCCTTCCTTTTGAGTGCTTCTACCTGCTAACTACTATAGCAACTACTATACTAACTAACTAACTGCTAATAAACCTTATTGACGAGTCCACTAGCAGGCCCAGGATGAAATGCATCCCTCCCTTTTGAGTCCTACCTGCTAACTACTATAGCAAGAAGGCCAACCGGTAGCATCATAGGAAGCCATAGGAGCCACAAAACAAATCATAAAAACCCCCGTGAACCCCACGAATTACTGAAAATGATGACAAAAACGAATTAAAATTCGAAATTAAGGTTACATTCATGGACAGGACATTTTGACGTTTAAAATTGCTCACCTATGAAAAGCTTGGTAATTTGACTTATCATGGTGTTTCGATTATCTTGGGGTGGACATTGGACATTAAGTTACAGGAACGTTGAACAACTATACCCTTCTAAGTCATGATTCACGTGATGGTCAACATGATACGCAGTGCAGTCAAAAACGTATTAATCAAGCTGTACAAACTTCCCAAAAGAAAGTCGAAACTCGTGCAACTAGCTGGATCGTGCCGTGGTTAAAGGCTAAGGGCTAAGGTCATCACTTCACCAAACATGCAAAATACGCATACATCTGAAAACTAAAATAGGCCTCCTACTTAAAGCGATATCTGTAAGAAAGCACTGTCAGGTCTTGTGACACGATTTGTCACTAGAGACACGATACTAGTTTTAAAATTAAATCAGATATACACCGCCATATAGAATAACTCTCTAATATCAGGCCCCAAGGATAGTGGCGCCACCTAAGTATTCGTTCCCTTCCAACTAACAACTCTAAATCCTTCCTATCCAGTTACAACCCAATATTTTAAATTTTTATTATTGGAAATGTACATGTATAGTATTCATTGAAACTCTCAATTGACATAAACTTCGTTACAAAATAAAAATTCGGTGCAATATGAACAGAAATTAAGGTAAATCGTTGCTCAGTATTCGCACCATAAAGACTTACCATTATTGAAAAGATATTAAAGTATTTATACCAGATTTATGAAATAGTTACTAGGAATTTACACTAGGCTTATAAGATCTAGTATCAACAATCTTATTTGTATAAATATAGATATGGCTTAACGTTTGACTTCGTTCAATATAATACTCGCTGATAAAGACTCTAAAACTAGGTAAAACGATAATATTCACTTGAAGAGGACTATTGAATAGGTATATTTCAATGACTCTATGTGCACAAGATCTGTCCATCAATCCTCACTGTAACCTAACAGACCGATATCGCTCCTGCGTATCGGATTACACTGAAGACTGACTGACAGATCGCACCGTTCATGTACTATGCGTTGCAGACAAGAACGCTGAACAAAACCGTATTGAATCCCCACTAATCCTCACCAACCCATGCTAACGCCGTCGCAGATGTAGGCTAACCACGCTTCCCTTATTGACAGAAATGATCCCTTCCTATTAGCCTGATCATTATCGTCACGTGACAAAGAAAATGAACGAAAGAATCGAGACAAAGTGAGACAAACGCAAGAAATAGATGCAAGAGCATAGACTCGTCACTAAAGCATTAACTTCACATTCTTCCGACAAACGATGACGAAGATCGTCGATGACAGCGCCACTGTCGGTGATCATGAGAGTGACAGCGAAGTTAGCCGTAAGGATGTAAACACGCTATGCCTTCTTTTCTCGAACGCACAGTATTATCTTTACAGCGTTACTGCCTTTGAGATTCGCGAGGTTTGCTCTGTACTCGTAGAGCTTCGCCAGGAAGATCACAGATGTCGCGACTGAGTAAACTACTCAGACAAATCACCGACAGTGGCGTTGTCATCGATGATCTTCATCACCGTTTTCGGGCAATAGCGGTTACTGCCTGTGATCAAGGGAGTGTCAGTGAAGTTAATCAGCCGTGTGGGTGTAAACACTCTGTGCCTTCTTTTCTCGAACGCACAGTACTATCTTTACAGCGTTATTACCTTTGAGATTGGTTGGCGCCACTGTCGGTAATCATGAGAGTGACAGCGAAGTTAAGCATAAAGATGTAAACACGCTATGCCTTCTTTTCTCGAACGCACAGTACTATCTTTACAGCGTTACTGCCTTTGCGATTCTCGAGGTTCGCTTTATACTCGCGGAGCTTCGCCAGTAAGATCACAGATGTCGCGACCGAGTAAACTACCGCGTCTGGAACCCTATCGCGCGCGTCTTTCGCAATCGTTCGGAGATAAACGGATACCATCATGAAATCGGACTTAATGGGAATCCGAAGAGCTTTGCGTGGATTGTGAGGGACGCCGAGAATTTGCACGGGGTCGGAAATCGCAGAGGAAAGACCGCCCAGCAAAATGATTCGCGCATATTTCTTTCTCCCGCCGTCCGATCATTCAATTTCGACAGACAATGAAGTGCTCCATACGGGAAGCGGAAGTAATCTGTGGACCGGCCTTCCATTAAAATCTGGGTCGACTCTTTACTCGTTCGGGGAACCGACGTTTCCAATATCCGCGATAGAGACTGGCTTCCTAGGCGCGAAATTAAGTTGCGGAGAGTGCGAAAACCTTCGTTCAGTTCCGCTAGAGGTTAGGTGTCGACAGGAACTTAACATGTTTGACAGTAACATTCGCAGCGTTGCCATTTAGCAACGTGCTTGGAGTTACTAACATAAGAGACACAGCTGCACGCTGTGGTTATATTTATAACTATCCCTTGTTTCATTATCTTCGAGTACTATAACCTCAATCCGAGCGACGTTCATAGTTACCTTCCTTTTTATTTAGAGTGTCGTTGTTCTACAGTACTTTTGAAATTGAGCTGTATAGCTATATGTTTGCATAATAATGTCTATACTCCATTTCTCTCCTCAAACAACCCTACCCGATTTATTTAACCAAATCTGGTTTCCAGTCTATTTGTCAGATTAAGCAGGAACCCTGTTACAATCGTCTGGTTAAATATCAATGGCGTGTTTAATCAGATATAACCACTATTACATTTGCCTGTATTCGCGTAGTTGCAATCGCATTGCATTCTATTTATATTTGCCTGACAATATTTACCCTTTATTCGATAGCTTTACTTTCAACAGCTGACATGTTAATTCCCAGCGCTATTTTATTGTCCCGGCTACTCTCGCCTAATTTACATCAAATTGATGCACGACTATAATTCCGTTAGGCTAACGACATTTCCCATTTCCTTTATCTGACGATATTAGAACTTGGACAAAGTTCCCACTTGTTACCCATTGTTTCGTCATCTTCGTACCCAATACCCTCTGTCTGAGAACTTTTGAGCTTCTTACCACATTGACCCCTGTTTCACCATGTCTAACTGCTGTCATGTGAAATACCCTATGTTTCACAAAGTTCGTGTTATGTATATACAAAGTATTCGACATAGTGATGCGAAATTAAGTTATCTGTATATCATACGAGAAATCTCACTAGAAAATCATCAAACGTGAATAACGCAAATCTGTTACAAGCCACTAGTAATCGAGCAATTATCGGGCACCACAAAGTTTCCCTGTCACCGTACATCCAGTAGTGAGAAGACATGTCTCTAGCAGTCACGTGATATAAAATACGTCAGAATATGATTATCGTATTTAGAATAATGAAATAATCTGAAGGAAGACGAAGAACGATCCAACTGCGAGTAACTCACCACGACTGAACTGATCATTGTTCGCGATCACACGCTCAGCGTTCTTCCTGGCAATGTAAAACCATTCACTGCTGTTGCTCAGATACTTGTACTCGATGGCCAGGTCCTTAACGAGGATACCGTCCTGGTCCTGCAGTCGATGAGCAAATGGGCAATAAAGCCAACGATCCCTGTACTGCAACTTGTCATAGCAGTTCCCAGCCGCGAATATGTCCTCGTCAAATTCGACCATCGACAAGATGCTCGCGTGTAATAGGTACTCGGAGGATAACATCACTTCCGGAGCATACTTCCACAGCCTGGTCAGCATGTTAGCACTGTTCACCGCCAGATTTGCCTCCAACCGGAACCTTTCCTGGGCGTACTGGTCCACGATGCCCTCGCCCAAATTCAGATCAGTCCCAGCGGTGCAGTTCTCGCCCAGCAGATGCTGATTCTCGATAATTCGAAGGAACCTCGTGACAATGTCCACGTGAACAGGCTCCTTACTCGACTTGCCCTGGTCCCCGTTCTTCCCATAATTCTCGCAATTCCCTCTCTCCGAACTGTTCCTGCTCCCGTCGTTGTCGTAGATACCGTAGTCCTCTGGAATAATAATCTCCGTGTCATTCAAGCCGTTCCTATCATCGCTCGATTCCCCGTGTATTACATGCCCATACACTTCCGTCAAGTTTCCCGCCGTTCGATTGCCAAACTCCCGAGACCTGTTCCTAGTGATCACTTTCTTCAGTTTATTCAAAGAATCCCCTTTGTGAGACGCCTTGCCCTCTTTCCTACGATCAGAGCCAGCCTCGGACAGTCTGGTGAGCAATTTATCCAAATCCACCGTGGATCGTTCGTCGATCGTGCCGGACGATCGTAGATCCTGACCCGAGATCACGGTAGATCCCAAATTCTTGCTCCTGGATTTATCCTGACCCGAAACACTCTCAGTCTGAGACTCATCGTCCATCTGCTGAGTCTTCCTGCTAGACCCACCAGACACATAGACAATGTCTGGGTCGTCCAACTTGGCCTGTCTAACGAAATGGCTCCTGGACCGACTGTGTCTGATCTGAGTAGCCGGTTTCTCGATGTTGGTCTCCAACTTGGTCCTGAAAGTCTGCTGATCCTCAGCTTGCAAGTTCTCCTCGGACAGACGGTCGTCCCGATCATCCGGGTATATAGCAGTCTCCGTGATCTCGTGCACGTCCAGCCTGTCGACCAGCTTATGGTCGATGAACGACGGTCGATGGTTCTGCTGGTGACGCAGCAGCTCCTTCGGCTTCTCGATTTGCGCCTCCTCGTCAGCGAAGCCGGCCAACCCAGGCCAGAGCGTGCACGTGAGCAGGACGAGGGCGTACCAGAGGCATGGGACACTCATCTTAGATCAGTGTTCGCGGCCATGAAGAGCAACAAGCTGTCCAGACCTCGGTCCAGTCACGTCATCCGGTCGGTTGGCAACCCTTGCTTGCATTTCAACGCGGTTACCGTCATTTTCGTCACGTGTGCGCACCACTGCGTTTCACTATGATACTACTGTCACGTAACGGATGCCTGCCGCGTCTAGCTACCACATTTTCCCGCCGCGATTTCGCGATCGATTCACGGAGTCAAGAACGACAGCGCGACCAGCCACGATTTCCACTATCGAGCCACGAGTTGTTGACAATTCTGCAACAGTTTCGAACATCCAGCCTCCTGAGCTTCCTCCCGCTGTCAATGTTCATTTTCTTTGCGAATCGCGAGGGGACGATTAGGTTGCACCTAGTAGGCTAATGCATGCGACCTGGTCATCGCGACTCAGGTGGGGTCTTTGGATTTCGAGCGACAGGCATCAGTCGTCTCGCGAGTCATTGTTCCCAGCGGACAATCGACGCGGAACCGAGAGGGTAGGAGCGTTTCCGAGCGAGGGAACGCCAAGATCCACTCACGCTCGCACGCGGCGTCAGACTGAGGGTTGAAACTTGCCAACCCCCGTGGCAGCCAATGCCGAACACAACGCGCATGTCCCACCTGGATGATTTTATTAGAATCAACCGGATCTGTCTTTTCTTCGCCGTGTGTGACGCGATAGGTGTAATACGCTAATCGTTATCGAGAAACTCCTGCTGGATTTACGTCTTTTCCGTGTTAGATTCGTGCACTGCTGTATCCTAGTAGAACATTCAGCTGGTATTTGTGTACCAACTGGTAGATTTACAATCTTGAATAGCGTTATTTGGATAAAGAAAACGTGAAGAAAATTTAAAGGAATATTCCTGTAATGAACATTTTACAAAAATAAATCAATTCCCGTTTCATATCGGATGAAACGATAATTTAAGGAACCAATCAATGAGAATTTTATTTTCTTCTATACATGTATTACTCGTTTAATAAGCATTGTCCCAATGATATTTTCTCGAACTTCTTAAGGGGGTATATTCTTGTAATCCGGCTTAGAAAAATCAATATTTTTTTTCTGCAGTTTCTCAGAATATATGCTTTCGAGAATGTCTGTGTAAAAGGATTTATTCAAATTCGTAAAATTAGCGAAGTTATAGATGTTTAAAGTGCGGCGTATAGGTATTGCATAACGAGTAAGGAAAACTTCAAACGAGTTTTTCTCGAAACCGTGTTTTTGAACTGGCTGACGGGATATCTCGCGTTTCAGTTGACCGATTAACTCGAAATTTGGTGGAGACCTTCAGTGGATGTACCTTTATCGAGTGAACCACGGATTTCGAAATCTGATGTTTTTTCTATTTTTTTTTACCACACAAAGGATGAAAAGCACGAGGAAAATCGATATTTAAACTTCAAAACGCTGCCATTTTTTTAATTTTCGAAATTTCGCTGTTTCGGTGGTTCATACTATAGTCGTATTTATACTAATTAAGATGCTTTTTAGTTTTTTCGTTTCGGATAACCAGATGATCCGGAATTACGTTTGCCATTCGAGCCCGTTTTTAAAAACACGATTTTCTTGAGGCTACATAATTTCCACAATTTTCGATAATTTCGTTAAACAAAAATTGGAAGTATTCTCTAAGTATTAGTACATCATTGAGCGAAAACTGCATGCTAATATGTATCATGGTTTCCTCAGAAAAATTTCCTAAGTAGTCAATTTTTATTGGCCGAATTACAAAAATATCCCCTTAATAAAATTGTTAGATTTTATTTTGTAATTGTTATTTAAATCAGGCAAGGAAAGGCAATGCAATTTTCTTCACGATATTAGTCTCTTCGATTTCCTTTATCCGTAAATTCATTTTACAACATGCGAATAATTAATCTACTTCATTAAAAATATCAGGATTATTACATAATTATAAACGTAACATATATCTATTAAATAGATTAAAAAGAATGCAATGCTTGTCAATTAAAGAGGCTAAGAAATAATATAAAAATTAGAAACCAAAGATCTAAGCACAGTAAAGTAAATTACTGACTTCTAATAAAAATTGATTTATAATTATTATATTAAACTCGTTAAAATGTTAACCTAGAGACCTAACTAACCCTATAGGTACTACAACTAAAATTTCGTTTATTACCATACAATTTTGATAAACGATTCGACTTTCTGGAATCACATGATTACCTTTTAAATCCTGTATTAACACATTTTTTGTTTAACATTAGTTTCATTTAGAAATTTAAATACCTGACAGAAGAACGAAGAAAGAGTTAAAATTCCTGACATTTTCCGTTCCTTATAATAATTTTAACCATACGGCTAGATTTACGATTCGATCAACCCAATTGTACATAATCGATTTACTTTGGAACGAAGCTGAATAAATATTCGGCCCGTAACACGTTCAATTACCATTTTACCAGGTCCTTTTTTAAGCAACGTATATTTTATACGTAATCGAAAGCAACGGCTGCAGTAAATTAATTTTTCAAGCGATGAAATACACACTGCGCGACAACGATTAAAGTGGTATATACTCGTTCGTTACGGAGCATCGATGACAATTTATTATAACGCGGAGACGTCGGCGAATAACGTGTCGATACCTAATTCACTGGAAAATGCGTAACAGCACGAAGTTTTCCCAGGCGGAGAAAAATGTTATGGCACATCATGGAAACAAATGCACGCCTCTGAATACAAAATGAACACGCAGCTATTTTTCTTTCTTGCCCACTGAATAAATCACCATTTCCACGCGCGCTCCTTCCCCTGCAATTTATCGAATGTAATGCATTTAAATGTCAGCAAATTTTCATTTCTAATCACTCGATACAGCAATACGAACTTCAAAGTGCGAAAAGAGAATTGTATATATAAATATAAATTGCATAGAGCTTTTAAAATACATTCCTTATGTTAAAAAATACTAGGGACATCTAGGGATATTCATGGAATAAAGCTAGAATGTTTCAGAGAACCGATTCTTTAAATATCTGAACTTGTTAAGTAACTTTTGATGAGTAAAAGTTTCATAGGTGCTTTTTTATACTCTTTTTAAATAAATTTAAACTATTTTCAAACCCATATTTAACTAACTCTAAAATATTTTAGTATAAAATAAAATAACATGTTTAATTTGTCCAATAAAATATTTAAATTTTGTTTGAGATATATACAGGATGTTTCTTTCAATTGAAAGTATTGGAAGTTAAACAGGATACGATAAAGATTGTTACAAAAACAAATTAAACATTTTATTTTATTTTATACTAGAATATTTATATTTCTTTCTTTTAAATAACTTAATACCAGGTTAAGGTATTGATTTGTTATTAAAATAATTTATATCATCTGTGATAATAGAATTTGTATGCAGCTATCAGAATTCAAGAAAATTATCCAGTAATCTACAAATAGTAACACACATCAGTGGTAAAAGACACAACTACATGCATAATTGTCAGAACGCAGCGGTATACAGCGTTTATACTGGACGTTTGAGCACTTAACTCAATTTCAAATTAGTAATTTACCACGCTCATTTCTTGCTCAAAGTAAAACGAGTAGCAGAACGATAATTCGTTCGTCCGCATTTAAACGTAAGTTCTAACGGCCTGAAATTTCTTTGTAGATGAAAGGAAACTTTCGACGACCCTCGTTGCCTTAAAAATAAAAAGGGAATCGGGGAAAAGTTCACCGAGAAAATTAGTAAGAAATAACGATAACTCGACGATCCAGATCCGAATTACTCAAAAGAATGGTAAAACTCGAGTAAGGTACAGTCCAGATGAAAAGTCTAGAGTTTCCTGAATTCGCTCCTACGGGGACCGCAAGAGTGTACCAATAGGAAAATTTCCGGGTAACACGACACCATCTTGCCAAAACCCTGTAACTATGCCACAAGTGTTCCTGATAGCATTAGAACAAACGGTTATTACTGTCCAAAATTAAATTTTGTTAATGATAAATATTAGAAAACAAAATACAACCATCAAGAGGAAGAAATAGTTGAAAATATTTCTTACAGAAATTTTAAAAAGGCTAAAAGTCTCATGGTTCATTGTGAATAAATTAGGTGTAAGATACCTAGATTTCTTGTACCTTCTTTCTTATTGTATTCTTTTTTGTATTACATGTGTGACTTAAAAATGGACTGAACTTGTCACATGACTAATTGCAATGCATAACCACAAAATTACCTGATCTCCTACAAATTCAAAGTACAATATGAATATTTCAACAAAGATGTAGTATAGAAGCCTAAATATAGATGTAATTTGCAAAAGATATGAGAATTATTAAATTTATTGCTAGTGAAGAATTATCTAAGGTTTAAGTTTATAATAAAAATGAAGAAATTAATAAAATGTTAGTTATTGTAGTAGAAAAATAATTATTAATGGAATTATCATGGTTCAGCAAACAGTTTTATAAACATTATGTCTGGAATAATTTAAGCCCTACGTACAAATAACTCAGATAATAATTTTCATAGTTACCTGAGAATTAATTAACATGGAAAAACATTTCAAGTTATATATGAATATAAAATGATCTAATAACTTTCAATAAATATAACTTGAAATCCTCACAGACATGAAAATGTTTTGTTAATAAAGAGTTATAGCAGAAAGCATAAATGTTAAGGGTTAAAAATTGTTGATATTGCGGTATACGTTACTGCATTGTTGATTGATTTGAGTGCATGCACTTGATCATGTTACTACACGTTATCCTACTCATTAAAATTCTGTAAAGTAATATTTGTAAACTTGGGTAGTCAAACAAGTTTTTCTTTCACCATTCATATATACAAAGGAATCAATATTATGCATACATTGGTGATTCATGAATAAATAGGAACACTTACTTCTGTAAATTTAACTGAGAAGTAGTTGCATTTCTTTTAAATAATAAATTATTATAATTCTAAAATATCTCATAAACATAACCTTTCATATATATAAGAAAAC